CATAAAGCACTCCCTTTACAAAACGTTAGAAGGCGCAATAGTACCACCAGACACACTAAACACAGTGCTTATTGAGATAGAAGCCATGCTCAATTCACCCCCTCACCTACCTATCGGGTCGTCGGACTTTGACAATATCGAGATCCTGCGTCCCATAGATTTCATATAGGAGAGAGATGGTTCTATCTCTTCCTTGGTCACCTCCTGGATGAGATCACGATCCTAGCTACGTACCATCCTGAAAGAACCTAGATGGCGCGTTCAAACGAGGCATCAAGCAGTTGCGGCGTTGGAAACATCATACAGATTGACCGAACAATTCTGGCACGTATGGCAAACCCAGTACCTCACTATCCATCGGGAAAAGCATACCCTTCACGTTAAGACTAAAAAAGGGTGCACGCAAGCTCCACGAAAAGGATTTTTAGTGTTAAGTGAGACGCTGCTACCCCGTCATACTTGGAAAATGGGCGTCATACAGGAACTAGTATGTAACGCGAGTGGTACAGTGCGGGAAGCGGTTCGTCTACCGACGCGTCGGCGAATAAGACGACCAATCAATCTCCTTGTACCGTTGGAAATCGAAGAAGGTATTCGCGAAGAAACCGTCGGCGCAACCGAAGAACCACATGACGAGCACGCTATCGCGCCTTCGGCGAGTAGGAATACTACACTTCTGAACCCATTACTCCACAGGAAGAACCCCGGTATCACTTTCGCCATAGAAAACCAATAAACTTACAGTGAAGATCAATACGGGATGGGCGGCACCCCTTTTCCCTCAATACGTTTCTACTAGCGAGCCTCGTACAGCTGCTCTCCCTCCTATGTGTTGCAACGGCTCAGACCCTTTCTCACCCCATTTCTCAATACAATATCCAGTGTATCCAAGGCGGCGACCATCTAACGGTCCTAGAATGAACACCATACGAGCTTTGCGCAGACCAATACTGTGTAAAGCTAGTAAGACCTAAAAAGGAAGAAACCGTAATGTTCCCACCACAGATCATCCTTCATGATCACAAACTTCAATGGAGGCTATTAGAAAATTAGACAATACGGGTAATAGAAACTTCCTGTCCCCCGCCTCCCCTCTGCAAGTTTTGTAACATGTACGTTTTGCAGCGCCAATATTACGAACTCTGGATGTTGGCCACTTAAGGAGGAATTCACGATTAGAATGAAGGTCGAAGAAAGGGAAACTGACCTAGTTGAGGGACCCACGGACCTCCTGAGGGTGCGAACTGACGCGCAATTCGCATGGAAAAATTTGACCTCGGCGACCTATCATGCCTCAAAGCTGGCGGGTCCGGCGATCTCCGCCCACCGATCATCTGATCACTCGCCGTAGTTCAATACGTGGCGAGTGATTAGATAGCTGAGAGAGCGTAGTGTTGAAGAGGGCACAGCGATGAGAGTCGCATCAATGCTCGAATCAACGGGCAAGGAAGGGGTCCATTTCTCGGGTTCTGGGCCGTTTCTCATGGTTCTTCCTTCTTTCGTGTACCACTCACCATCCCTAGGTTAATTTGAAATGGGTTGCTTTTTCATCGTAAATTCGTCCTTTGAAGCGATTCTAGCTGTAGCTACAATATTATATTTCTTAGTAACAGGTTGCTATGTATTCCTCTATGTACCGGTTACATCTAAGGTGAGTCAGCTGGTGCTTGTGGTTTATGATGCCCCCCATGGATTCTTCTGGTCTATGGGGACTATTTCGAAGTCGGAAATGATGTCTGCGGTGGGTCGCAGTGATCTTTGACTTTTCCAGGCTCTGACGAAGGCGACCAAGCCGAAACGTTAGCCGAATAAAGATCTGTAACATCTTGGCTTGTGGCTTCAAAACTACTCCAAGAATACCAAACCCTTTAGGGTTCTAGCTGCATTATTATGGTCAATAGATTCCTTTTTAGTAGAATCAGAAAGCTCATAGGAAGGACGAACTCTTGAAGGGGATTCCGCAATCACAATCTTGCCAAAGTTATAGAAATGCTGGTAGTTTTAATCGCTCCATTGAAGGAATGCAAGTTAATAGATCTTTTTGATCACTACTCTACGATTTGCACAAGAGATTCTAAGCCGCACTGTCATTCATAATCAATACTTTCACGAAAGAAGCCTGTCTCCGGCTGTGTTTGAATAACACTTCTTTACATGAACCACGCGTACGATGGAAGTCTTTAGAATTGGGATGCGATCCAGAGACGGACTTGTTCACAAGAGGCACGATCCACAAAATGATAGACAGTAAACGATGTTTCCATAAGGGCTCTTGCATCGGAGATAAGTGCGGATCCACAATTCCTCGAGTCTTATCCCCGAACTTAAGGAAGGGAACCAATATCCGGGCAATACGGCGTGCTTCGAATCTTGTGGAGGACTGGGTTGTGACTGTCTATTACCTAGTTCGGGGTGCTTATTCTACAGAATCTACGCCACACCAGTCAGCCAAGTGTTTGAGATCTTCCGCTGCAATCGGTGGAAAAGCTCGGCTAAGGTAGAAGTAAATCATTTCGAAGGGCGCAAAAAAGATCTACTACCGTAGTGAGATTGACACCGAATTTACCAACGCAGTGCAAGTCTTTTCGCATGACGCTCACATCGCTCGCATTTCCTCCGACCCCTTTGCTCAGTACCTACTTCATTTCCGATCCAAGACGTACCGCATTGTGAAAAAGAGAAAACCACATTGCATTGCGATGCCCCGACCTCGCTAGCGCTCAACTACTCAATTGTACACTTTTTGATGATTGTAGGTGTACTTCGGCGGAAACCCATGTGAATTGCAGGTGCACAGACTTTTCAATATCTGACTGGTTCTATAATATCCGGAATCAACTTCCTGTTGTCTTTCCAGCAATAACCCTTTCGCCTCACAGAGCTTCAAGAGTTCAGGCAAGAGTTTTTTCTATGGTTACAGCAGAGGTTGTGATTACCTTTCAAGATGCCTATAAACCAGCGCTTCTCATTGATGAAGCAACCTGCGAAATAGGAGACGCAGATCTCACAGGTTGCTACGGATGCGCTAAAGGTGCCTTTAGTACCGTAACCTGTACTGCCTCCAAGGATGATGTTCAAGCAGTTAGTTGTGAACGAATGGGTTTCACGATCCCTTGCAATACAACCGGAGTGGTATCAACCTTAAGATTCGCTTCCACAACCGCCCAGGCATCTCCCACATGTTCGGTTTCCTGCGGAGGCCTATCGCTCTGGCATCTAAGTTCTACCAGTCGCTTCTCTAATAACCGTAACTGCTTTTCTGCTTCTTCGAGTACTTCTTCCCCATTCTTTGATTTCCAGTCTCGTCGAACTCATCGATTGTTTCTTTCTCATCACTGCTCTTTATTTCCGTCAATGTATTACTGCGAGCCTCAACGGTTTCTTGGTACAAGACTGAAATTGATTCTTTCTGTTTTTCTAGCTTACCATGCAATTCTTGCACCATTATGGTTTTTGTTGCCAAAAACTGTAGTATTTCCTTAAGGGTTACAGGGAACTGCCATGGGGCTTGATAGTCCAAGGCTTCGATGATAAGGCCGTTAAGGTTGTTAAGCTGTCTTGTCAACTTTTGCTTAACCCCTTTCAGGCTGGATGCTGGGTTCGCTGACGACATACTTCGACGCTTGGCGCGCGGCGAATGACAGATGGAGGCTCGAAGGATGTCGGTATATATGTGTCTATGTTCAACATCGTCTCGCAGATAAACATTTTTTGATCTTCGCGAGCATTTTCTTGTTATGTAAAAACATTTCCTCACATGTTGTGGGAGGCAAGCCGTGGTGACTCAGTCTGGTATTCAGTGAATGTTTTGAAACCCTTATCACTGGGTTTTATCTTTTTCCACTTTGCTATGCAACTTTGTCTTGTCATGTCATAGGAATTTCCGATAGACTGCCACTCTAGGGGAATTTCCTTGTGTTTCCGGAGATCAAGCGAGAAATTGTGCCTGTTCTAGATGATCTTTTGTTTTGTGGCCACATACTCGTTGAGGCACTAATTTCCGGGTTTTCTTCGAGTTTTCCTTCTCTAGGTAGGTCTCACGGACCACCGGCCGGGTTCTCAGTCCGGAGTTTTCCTTCTCCATTGCAGCGCTTCTGCTTAATTAGGTACCTTTTTTACGTGAGTGTAAGTTCAGAGAGGATTTTACGTGGATCCACGAGCGAAAATGAGAGATGGAGGTGAAAAGAATTACAAAGGAAGGATGACGAGAAATAGAAGGAGGAGCTCATGCAAACGCGAACGACTGAACGAGCGAATGTGAGATGTGATTTGTCTAAATGCCGGCTTGAATACTTACCTTCACCTTGTCGTGTCTGTAGTTCGCGATTGGTCCTCGCCGAAGTCCCTGAATGAATGAATTTGCATTGTGGTTTTACTATTTCGTTTCAAAGTTACGCTTTCTTGATTTCTAGCAGTGCAATCATTCTTATTTTCGCTTTTCAGTGATATTCGGATAAGCGTTGGCGGATAGCACTCTTATGCATTTAGAGACGTGAAACATGAAAATGTTAAGCGTTTTTTTTTCCACTTACCGGATGCATTTTTTGCTGAGATGTACAATGTACAGCATCCAAATTTTCTTCCCAACTTTGGCCGATGCACCATTTTGAGACTGCATCACGGTCTCAATGGAAATTTGGTGGTTCATCCTTCTGCTAGAACACTGTCCCAATGCATTTTATTATTAACAGTCACACCAACACCTTTGAGGATATCATCTTCAACACACAGGAAATTCTGTTTATGGAGAACGACATGTGATTCTACGAACTTAAGAGACGACCTCATCTTACCATTCCATTCCCGTTCTACTTTCCTTTCCTCTCTTTCCCTAGATTACCTTCCCTCATATTTCTAGTGGGTCCGCCGAACTGGTAGGAGACTGAAGTAACGGCAAGGCTTCTTCATTGGGCTCTCTCCAGGCCTGGGCTGGATGTATAGCTGTCAGAACAGTAGCAGGCGAGAGAGGCCAGCCCCACGCGCTTGCATGCACGCCTTTATGACCGGCGCAGACAGCGAGTCATCGCGAACTCGAGCTTCGCGAGAACACCCTTTTAAATTGAGGGTATCCTTAAATTCGTAACCACGCAGAGTGAGATCCTCAATTTATGGCTCAAAGGAGAAACAATATCCAATAACGATTTCGCGTGGCCCGATTTTTGGCACATATTCACCGTTTTTGCACAATGGTATAAGACCGTAGTCATTGTAGCAATTAGTTTAGGGATGATGATAGCACTAACCTATGTGCTCCTCTCCACTTGTGGCTTAAAGATGCTCTTGTGTGCTTTGACCTTGACTCCCAGGACCATTTTCTTTTCCGCGAGAAAATTACTCCAAGTCTGGTCCTTTTACAGACAACGAGCAAGCACCGTAAGCAACATTGGCTTTGCCAAGAACATAAGGTAGTAGGAATTAAATAGACTGTTTTTTTAGAACCAATAGACATCGAAGATGTGGACAGATTATGGATCAGACATACTTTTTCTCTCCCACATCAGAGCTCAGCTTCAGCGACAACTCTGGAGAAAGACCAGGCCAACAGCCTCCGAATGGTTCACGGACAAATTAAAGTCACGAAGACTTTTGGGGTGTCGTGGCAGCACCACCTCGAGCAGAAATCTATTCAAGAGGCCCCAGCAGGAGAACAAGTTCTCCTAATTAGCAAATTTCTGAGAACGGCGTTAATCACCCGAGAGTTGTTGTGGAGCTGGACTCAGCGATTCTTGATGTTCGACTCGTTGTATCCAGAGGATGACTGACTCAGATAGCATACCAGCGTGGAGAAGAAAGGAATGGCTAGAGCGGGGAACCGAGCACGACACGCATGCGGCGGACTTAATCCCAATAGCTGAAGAGAACATGAAGAAGCTGGACCAATATATAGCTGCCATCGAAGGAGAACTCGCTAAGGCTGAAAAATCGCTCCAAGAAGAGAAAAATGTGCTATCAGAGTTTGTGCACGTGATTGAAGCAGACGACTTCTGAAGGAGAAACGAGCCACTAAGCAAACATGGACGTCTTGACGGATGATGAATACCTCGATCAGCTGGTAGAAGAGAGCGGGGGAAATGAAGAAGAAGCTGAGGTGCAAGGCCCCAGCTCTAAAGAAAACTTTCCTGTGCAACAGTTCGACTTGGAGAAGCTGCAGATATCACCAAAGAAGAGAGACAGCGTGCACGTTCTGTGGCTCAGTTGCTCACTATTCCAATTCCTGTCCAAGAATAACGGACGGTGATGAGAGATACCGTTTTGTCAGGAACCGGGATCTGTGTCAATACTGTCTGAACGATTGCAATCCCTGTGTGGTATGTTCTCGAAAGGAAGACGAATGTTTCTACTGCGAAATCATGAGCAAGAAAGAGTGTCTCCGTTTTCTGATCCCGAACGATGGAGGTCATCATCGCGCGTTGTGCAATGTGCCGGACTCAAGGAACCGCATCGCAGAAAGAATTCGCGAAGTAGAGCGCGAAATAGAGGAGGTAAGAAGAACTCCTCTGACTGTTGGCCGGAGTGTCGCAAAAGGCGACTTTTCCATAGATTCAGGCAAGTGTTAATGGTGTTTACATTCCTTTGGGCTAAGCAATCCATGGGAAATCTCACTTCTCAAAACATAAGGATCTTGGGGAGAAATATGTTTATATTCACAAGTTTTACAGATTCGATGTGCACGTATCGTAGCTGTATAAAAGCTTCACCATATTACCCCTGGGCAGATTTTCCATCAAGATTCCATCGGGACTCCATCCCCACAGATTATCCGGTAATTCTGGTCTGGCAGTCAATACCATATATTCGTTCACCCCTCAATACCGTCTCGCGAAACGTCTCGGCTGTCTCCGCGGCTTCGATCTCCCCGCCGATAAGCTCTCGTAACACTGCTAAGCGTGCTTCCTTCCCCCAAGGCGGGTTACAGTCTAGCCCTTTTAGCTCCTGATATTTAGCGGACTTATATCTGTATTCAGGTCGAGCTCCTGGCTACCACTCCTGCAGACTACTTCAATAGACGCTGCTCGGCTCCCTGTTTCAATACTCGATCCTGAGGTCTGTATTCAGGTCGAGCTTCTAGTCTTCATCAGACTTATATCAGTATTCAGGTCAAGCTAGTTTATAAGAATTTATCTGTGGATCCGGTACCGAGCTCTGGCTATCACTCCAGCCGTCTCAATAGACGCTGTTCGGTTTTCAATACTCGATCCTGAGGTCTGATTTCCGCGGATTCAGCTCAAGAGTCGGGACTAGCGTGCTCTCACCATCAGATCGTCCCTGTCGTGTGTCAGAGCACTCCGGTTCGACGCTACCTGCCACCCAATAGAAGAAAAGGCCGGTGCTTAATGACTCTTCTATCCTACCGGATCAATGAAGGATTAGAAGCATTCTAGTCTATTACCTCAATACACGTGGCCAGTGAGGATCTCACTGTACTGCCGGTGGCTCGCCAAATTGTTCCAGCGAGCTCTCACCATCAGATCGTCCCTGTCGTGTGTCAGAGCACTCCGGTTCGGTTTCTTTGTACGAAGAAAGGACGATACGGTTTGCACACCGCTCCATGCAAAGCTCTCGTGAAGATGCCTAATTATCGGCGAATAAACAGCTGCCCTAGTTTTTTTTTCAAGTTCTCGAGGATCTAAGTGAGAACAGATGGGCTACGACGAGAATTTACAAGCCCAGGAGACTGCGTGCAGACTCCCTTTTATTACACTTCCATTATTGAAATATAGCTTTCATGCAGTAGCCTTTTGAGTATTTCGTTAATAGAATGTAGCGCACCTCTTTTCCTGCAACTGATGCAATGTATACAGGCATTTACAAGATAATGCAGAATCTTGATTTGTTCTTCTGATTGATGAACTTCTAACTTTGCTTAAATGTATGGCAAAGTCACGTGCCTTGGGTTTTAGTTCTGTGCTCAACTTCTGTAGCTAGTTGAGCAGATGGGCACATCTTCCAAGTCGCTACTCAGGCGTCTGTAGATGGAGTCAGCCAGGGGCAGTGTTTACACCGCCTTGATTTCCATTTTCTGATTATTTATTTATTTATTTATTTATGCGCCAGAATGACGCGCTCCTACACACTGGGTAGAAAAGGTGAAGGTATATACTACAACAATGAATAAATACTTAATAAACAAAGGGACAAGAGGATCGAAGTATCGCCATCAAACTGCTAATGTGGTGGATAACGGCCATCGTAGTGGAAAAAAAATCCATCGTTAGAAAGTAAATCCATCGTTAGAAAGTAATATAGCAGAAAGGAGAAGAAACGCCGAGTATCACGAGTGGAATTACGGCAGACACCCGCACCAGTCGGCAATGGTGCCCTTAGCGCCACAAGAGGGGTCATAGGAGCTTGCAGGAACTTCGAGACACGAGTATACCGACAGCCCTCGTGGAACCAGCAAGCCAGGTGAGAGCGCAATTCCAAGCCTTGTGAGACCCAAGCATAGAGAGCGTGCTCAAAGAAAAGTGGAAGAAGGATTAAAATAGAACTCCAGTCCATACTCTCAGTAATTTTGGCCGTAAGGGGAATAGGTACATCACTGATCTCACTAAACTTCGATGGAAGACGGCGATCCCCTTGAGAGGTAGTATGATGAACCGAAAAAAAAAACCAAAACAACAACAGAAACGTAACTAAAGATATCAAAAGAACCAGCATAGAAGCTCAGACTAAAACAGTGACAAAGAGAAAACCTCAAGCTGCAAAGAAGCCTATGTACTGAACCTATCAACAGATATCGTCAACGCCAATCATTTGAAGAAGATCGATTTTCCTCAGAGCAGCTTTGAACTGTGCAGAACTCTTATAAGCCATCATCGTGCTAGGCAGTTTGCTGAGCCACTTATTTGTCCTGTAAAAAAAACTTTGTTCGCTAATAACGCGCTTACAGCAACCCATCTTAGGGAAGAAGTGTAGTAAGCCCCCACGTCTCCCGTTGTATGGGCGGAAAACCCAGTATTTTGATGGACGCAGGCGCAGCTCCCCTTTGAGTATTTTAAAAGCAAGAACTAGGTCTGCCTGCACTCTTCTATAAAAGAGAGACTTCAGGTTAAGCTCCTCCAAGCGAGTTTTGTATGCAGGAAGACAGCGCGGGTAATCAGGTTTAGGGAAAATTCGATAGTAAAGAATCCTTGTAAAAGTCTTTTGAACATTTTCAATTTTTTGTACCGTTTCTCCAAAAAAGGGCTCCAAACCGAGCTGCAATACTCAATCAGAGGCAGTACGAACGTCTTGAACAATCTAATCCACACAATAAGATCTGGCAATGAATATTTCTAAACAGACAATGAATGACTCGCATAGCTTTGTTACAATATTGTCGACCTGAGCATTCCATTTAAGTCCTTTGCAAAAGAACACCCCTAGGTCCTTCATCACATCACATGAAGGCAAGAGCCCAAACTGATCACACTTCACGCAAAGCGAATTCGCTGTAAGAGAGAATAAATGACTCTTAGAAAAATTAACACTTAAGTCCCATTGCCTAGTCCATTCCATCATTCTCTCAACAGATATGTTCATGGCTGCTTGAACTGCCTCCTTGTCATGCGCACTGTAGACAGCGTAGACTTTGATATCATCTGCATATGCAGCCACAGTTATGCTAGGATGGGTTTTGAGATGGGAGAGGAGGTCGCTCGTATAAACAAGAAAAAGGATGGGAGACAGGGTGCCCCCTTGCGGGACTCCTGATGGACATTTTCTGGGACGTGAAATGGAATCTGATATACGTATAACCATTTCCCGATCATCAAGATAAGATTTGAACCAGTCCAAAATTCTTCTCTAACGCCGTGCTCGTGCAAGTTTTCAGCAAAGGGAGGTAAGTGGAACGGTATCGAACGCTTTTGTGAGGTCATAGTAAACCACGTCAACATTACTACCAGAGTTACGGGCTAAAATCCAGTATTACGTGCAGTCAATTAATTGAGTGCAGGTAGATGCCCGTGGAACAAAACCGTGTTGTTCGAGCGGTATGAGCCTCTTGACTGTGAGCCATGATAGCAAATGCTCTTTGATGAGTTTCTCAAACACCTTGATCGGGGCAGGAAGAATGCTTATAGGTCGAAACTCAGAGACTTTATTGGCACCGCTCACCTTAGGTATAGGTGTAACATACGCTAACTTCCATTTTTTGGGGACCTTGCCCCAGTAAGAAAGAAATATTGAAAATATGAGTCAGGGGGCAGGCTAGCTGATAGTAAAAACTCTTGAAGAAGAACTGTGGAATGTCATCAGAAGTGGGCGAAAAGGGAAGGCTTGAGCGAGCGGAGGTGTTTGGCAACTATATAGGGTGTAACAGATAAGGGTGGTATAGAATCACTACACATCGAAACTATGTGAGCCCCGTTGCTCTCATGGTTCCTGAAGACCGATGAAAAATAGCTAGCGAAAGCCTCAACTTTAGATGCATCGTCAGAACATTTTGCACCGTCCTCACTCAGGATCATAGAGTTGGAAGTAATATGCTTTGTGAACTTCTTTAAATAAAGCCAAGTTGCGTATGTTATTGGAAGCCGAACATACGTCTAATTTTGTTATCCATGAATCGTTTCAGATGTATATCAAGACTTCTGCAAATATTAAGGTAGTCTGGAGAGCTTAACGGATCTTCAGTGCTGTAGAAAATCCTAGCTTTTTGCTGGAATAAGTTTGTAATGTGGGGCGGGTAGAACGAACTCCGATCAAATTCTCTCTTACGGATCGGCACGTATTGATTGATAATCTTGTGAACCACACTGCAAAACCTGTCATAAACGTCATCAATATCTTCGTAACCATCAAAAATTTCAAACCAGTCTAATGAGGAAAGCTCAAGCGAAATAGCCTCCCTATCACAACTCTTGAAATCCTTATAATATATAGGGACACATATTTCGATGTATTAGCAACCTTGAACATAACAATGCTTATGATCAGAGGAGGCTAAAGGTGGGAGAACGTTCAAATCAGAAATGCTGCCTTTGGTAGAAAGAACTAGATCAATAACATTTTCTTTTCTGGTGGGGCGTCGAACATACTGGTAGAGAGAAAGTGCATCGAACAACTCTGAAAATTTAGCTGTACTTAAGTTCATGGCTGATTTGTTTTCCCAATCAATAGACAAGTTGAAGTCGCCCACAATTGTAACTTCGTATGACGTAGATGACGAAAGATCAAAAAACGTCGATATCAAAGGTCATCTTGGGAGGTAGATGAGGAGGGAGGGCGGTAAACAAGAATGAGCCGACGATGCATTCCAGAGGGAAAGGCCAACATCAGCACAAATAACATCAGAAAGAAGTCCATTCGAGTTAAACTCAACCTTTTTAAAAAGAAGAATGAGCTGGTGAAAGAGTATGCAAACACCTCCGCCTTTCCTTCTCAATCGATCTTTCCTGATTATGCTGTAAGGAACGTCCGCACATACTTGAGAATCAGTAATCTTGGAGTTGAGCCAAGACTCCGAAATAAATACAACATCAGGATGATGATGGGCAAGAAAGTGACGGAGATGATGAAACTTTTTCACCAGACTGCGAGCATTGAATAGAGCACAACAACATTGGGACAAAATCATGAATCCTCAGTTTTTTGACTGCTGTTGCTTAATGTTGGGAATATCTGAGGACTTCACGATTTCCCCTCGATAGACAACGAAAACTCTGTTACCGTCATGCTCCTCATTGTTAAGGTCTTGGGCTCGTTT